TCCAGAGCTCCTTGGCCTGGCCTAGCCAGGAGTGTCAGGTCCAGTGAGTTGGCTTCCCCTCAAACCTTTCCCACCCACTCTGCCCTCTGGTCACTATGCAGCCACGTGCTCAGAGGATTGCCCAATGTCAGAGCGCCACCTAGTGTTGCTAGTGGGCACTCCCACCCCTGCCTGCCTCTGCCAGGGCTCAAAGGGAGCAGTGAGCTGTAGAAAGAGAGGGGTCTGAGCCTGGGATTCATACCTATGAAAGGCCTCAAATCCAGACCTTCGACATGGTATCTGGGTGACACTATTCCTCCAATCACACAGCCACCCCAGAATCCAGCAAGGACAGTCCCCTCTTAAAATGGAAAGCTTTGCTCTATTGTAAGATGACACTGTCAGCAGGGCGCTGACTTTAAAAATATCTGTAAAGCTAGAAGGACTTTATCTAATAAATGCAATCAGTGTAACATAATTCTTTGTACCCTTAATGAATCCCAAACAATAAAAAGTACTTGTAAAGCTTAAAATAATCTTTTCAATAATGTAAATTATTGTAAATGTAAATGTAATCTTTTCAATAATAGCATTATTTTCTGTTCATTGGTGACAAGTAAACTTTCCAAATCAACCATAATTTTGGTAACCCCATTTCTGGAAAGTTTTAATAATGAGAGGAACATTTCCGCTTCCTCCTTAATAAAAAGGAACAGGAGCTGAGGCATCTTTAGATATAGGAGAGGCCTGGCCTGGTGTATGAACCCTGCATTCCAAGCCTGTTTCATGCCCTTCCCTATCTCCATTTTTGGTGGACATGTCCATCTACTCCCACCCTGCCCCTCATTCAGAGCCTGCTGGGGGCCCCTGTTCCTCCCTTCTTCCCCTCTGAATGCCCAGTGTGTGCTGAACCCACAGCAGGTGAACCTGCTTGCTGAGCTGAACGTTCCCAGGCACTCTGCTAAGGGAGTCCCTTTTGCAATCCAGAGATTGGACTAACCCAAGTTTCTTGATTTGTCTCTCAATAGAAGGGTATTGAAGTTTCTGACTTGCACAATTGTTATAGGGATTAAAGAGAAGATGTGTACAAAGGTATTTGTAAAGGGTGTGACACAGTTGGCCCTCTAAAATCAGAATGTATTATTATGAGAGTCTAGGAGGCCCAATTGGCATTCAAAATTATGTCCATGGAAGAAAGGATGAGTAATACCATCTCAGTTGTGCAACTTCAGAAAAGACACTGGGGCTAGGAGATAGAAGGCAAGATGGGGAGTGTGGGGGATGGTTAAAACTGGTAAAGATTAAAAGCCAACCTGGATCTCAGTCAACAACTTATTTAAGAGTAAGGCATCCCATGGACCAGGGGTAATTGGGTGGGGAGAAGCCTCTCTTTCCCCAGGGTAAGGATGAGAAACAGGCCAAGCAGGGGAGGGGAGGAGGGAGCGAACAGCCTCTTTATTAACACAATTATTTTATTTGCCGAAAGGTAATCATCCTAAGTGAGGTCAATGGCAGCTGGCATAGGACTGGCCCTGCAGGCGCTGGCCCAGGTTGCCATGGTGACAGAGCCCGTTCACTTCCAGCAGCTGCAAGGGCTAGAGGCTCCAGAGCAGGGAGACCCCCCTCCCCCGGATCTCTTTTCTTCCCCCAGAGGAGGGCTGGAGGAGACCTGCGGGTACTTTCATTCCCCCTTCCAGCCCCCAAGACATATACCAAGAGCCCTGGGGGGAATATCTCAGCCCAGGGGGGACCCATCCTAGAGAAGAGAGGGGTCTGGGCAGCCATCTTCTCATTTCATCCCACAAGAATCCTGTGAAGGACAGACTACACACCATCTGACCAGTTTACAGAAATCTGTGGCTCAGACAAGCTACAGACCTGTCCATCGACGCACAGCATATGGGGATTTGCAGGCTGGGGTCCAAGGCCAGAGGCACCATTTGCAGTTTCCTCAGGGGCAGGGGCTGTGGCAATGACAGGGAGAGATTAGACTAAGATCTTGAATGAGCAGAAAAATGGTGTAAAGATACTTGAAAGTCAAAGAACCTTGGGGTTTGAGTCCTAACTCTTCCCCTTGCAAGCCATGTCACTCCCAGCAAATTTGTTCTGAGCCTCAGTTTACCCAATGCATGCTGTACCTATGACTCGCCAGGTATCTCTGCAAGATACCACCACGATCAAGGAGTGTTTCCCTGTCTGTAAAATGAGCCACCTTAGCCCTGCCCTGGGACCCAGGATGTCAGCAGTGGCTGGGAAAATCACTGCACTGCAAACGTAAGAAACTAGTTCAGTCATTTTTACCCAAATCCCAAAGGGTGTCAACTCTGCAGAGAAGGAACAAAATATGCCCTGTCCCCAAATCTTCCAGCCCTATGGTCCAGCGGTGAGGATGCCAGGCTGAAGTTCAGGGCATAGCACAGCAGAAATAGGCCCAAGAAGGATGTGCCAATCCTGAGGTCCATTTTGTTTGTGCCCACAGTGTCTATCGCCCTCTGCTGGACGAGTCTGGCACAGACACAAGGGACAATGGGACAACCAGAGGGAATTTAGAAGGGTTTGGGGGCAACCCAAGCAACTGGAGCACCAAAGGAGGCTTTGGGAGGTGATGGGACTTGGGCTGAAAGGGGACATGAGGAGGTGAACAGGAGGGAAGGCATTTCAGACAGTGGAAACTGATCCAATAAAAGCCTACAGATTGTCAGTTTCTCGGGGAGTTTGAGGAGCAAGGCATTGTGTGGGTGGGTAGGGCAAAGGAATTTCAAGAGGCCCAAAAGGAAGTGGCAACTACATCAGGGCCAGTTGTGGACGGCTTTGACTGTGATGCTCTGTATGTGATCCTGGAGGCAATGGGGAACCATTGAAGGTTCCTATCAGGGAAGGATCGGATTTACCTATGAGGCATACTGTGCAGAGAGACAGTAGAAGCAAGGAGGCTATAACAGCCTCCCCAGCCTAGCGCATTATTACTCATAAACAACAGCAAAACTCCTTCAGGCTGGCCTCCCTGAAGCCTTGACAAACCCTTTTTCTTACCATTGTACATGAGGCCTGAGCTGTGTAGGTTTCCTGCCTAAAAGCAGATTGGGGGCTGGGGGTGAAGCTCTGGGATCTGGTTCCCACTCCAGGCTCCTTCCTGCCAGGGCCCTGACATTGATTAAAAAGGTATGCAAGTACATGGGGGGAGCAGCGAAAGCAGAGGAGAGGGGTGAGAGCCCATATACCCAGGCATGCTCAGCTCCCAGCCTTTTATCTGAAGTCCTCATGACCCTGAGCAGGCAGTCCCTCTGAAGTAATTATCCCTGTTCTCCAAGGAGGAGACCAAGATTTGCATGGTTAGGAATAGGATCCCCATGACCCAGACACAATCCAGGTGTGTCTGAGCTCAAAGGTCCTCTTACCAGCAGTAGGAAGTGAAATGGGCCTTAGAGAAGCCACCTCCTCCGCTCTGAAGTCCCCTGCCCCCCTCCAGCACCCACTGCCTGTAGTCCTCTCCATGGCCACATCAGGGTCCTGGCCTCTTGTGAAACACATTCAAGACATACGGTGCATCAAAGATATTCACAAAGAATCTGTTCATCCAACCTCCTATTTTAGACTCATCAGCCTTCTCTGAGGTGTCAGAGTCTGTATCCTATGCCAGATGCTATGGAGCAAATAGGGGCGATGGCAGAGGGGTTGCTCAGAATGGGGTCCATGAACACAGGTGGCAGATTCCACCTCGTGCCTTGGGAAGACTCCAGGTGGAGAACCTGGCAGTCAGGAGAAGTTCTGAGGAAGGAGAGAGTTCTTAGGAGAGTATTCCTTCCCCTAGGCTAGCCACAGAGAGACCCCCTTCCAGGGTGACAAGGGCAGCAAATCTGATCAAAGTTCCAGGACAGAGAAGAGACAGAAGACAGAGTCAGAGATGAGGTGAGAGACAGAGAAGGGGAGGGGATGGTCCTAGTTTCACAGCTGGGCTTGGCAGCGGTGCCCAGGGTGCTGGCCACATCTAGCCGGGTGAGAGCACCAGCTTCTTCCTAAACTTTAATCAACGGACCTGAGGCTTGGCCACAGTCAGCAGCTAGGAAGATTGGCAGAAGCCTGGGAGGTGCCTGGCCAGGAAGGGTGTGCATGGGCTCTATTGCAGGTCAGAATGGGGGGCTTTCAGCACCCCTCAAGGGCACTCGGTGAGACATAGGGATGGGAGTCAGACTGAGTGAGCTACATCAACAGCAAAGGAACAAATCCAGCCCACTGAGCCTCAACTAGACGCTAAAACTCAACCTCTAAGCCTCTCTCCTCTAATCCCAACAAGCCTTGAGTGAGACACCAAGAAGAACTTACCAACCAGTGAGACCTTAGATGCCTGAGCAGAGACCACTCAAGGAGTTCCCATCATCGTTACTTGGGAAAGGGGTAGGGTCTCAGCATAGGAGCTGCCATCCTCCCTTTCAGGCCAGGCTACCCAGAAGGATGAACTGAATGGGTCACATCCTCATCACCTAAGTGCCATCCAGAGATGGTGGAAAGAAGCAGGCGACAAACCGGTATCATCTGCCCCACATAACTTATTAGCATCCAGGCGAGATTAATCAAGCCCAGAAACCTCGAGCAGACCCCTAATTAGTTGCTGCTGATAACTATATTTGTCATGCTCTCCAATTATTCCACTGTAAATTTCAGAGTTTAATTGCACCTTGTTCTTCATTGAAGTGTCACTGTTTGCACACGCTCCCCTAATTCTTTAGCAAATTTGACAAAATTCAGCATTAAATATAGATTATCTTTAGATTTCCATAATTAACACAACCAAACTGTCTCAGGCCTAAATATTTCTCCCAGTGCCATAAATCTGGTCTGTCTCTGGAACCCAGAGAGCTGCTTTCAGCTCCCCGGCAGAGGCTGCACGCACAACACATGTGCACATCCATGAACTCACATGATATGCCTGTGCAGGGCTGGGGGAGCAGGAGGTGGTGGTGAGGCTTCATTGAGGGAACACACCCCATCCCCCAAATTTGTAGGAGGCCCCATCAAGATGGGCACCCTGGGGCGTGGGGCATCTCAGCACTGTCCCATAGCTTAGAGGCCAGTCCAGCACCACTGCTGACCCCCAGCCCTGGCAGTGGCTCAACCTACAGCCAGGTCACAAGTCTCCCTACTCCACAAAGGTCAAAGGGCCCCTGTTTGTGGCTTTTTTCCCTGTTAAGGCTGTCCTTGATATTTGACATTATCCTATAAACATGACTCAGGCAGACACGAACAGCCCCTCCCATGCCACACACCTACCCTAGGGCGTCCTCACTGCCCAGCTGTCTCCCTTAGGCCAATCTTTCCAGGCTCACCAGGTGAGTATATGGCCATTCAACTCTAAACATACCTGCCTGGGGCTGTTTAATTCATGTCCTCTACAAGGTTTGGACTCTTTTCAACCTGCCCCCAAAGCCCCAAATCTAATACCTCAACAAAGTCAGCATTTCCAAAATGACATAGGGATGGGGTAGTTGGGAGAGGGCAGAGAAACCTGTCCCCCTTTTAGAGCCCAGCCCAGCCCTTGACCCCTGGGAGAACCACACTTTATCCCAGGTCAAGCCCTTTACTCAGGCTAGCTGTCTCATGCGCAGCCGAGCGGCCAAAGTTCAACCTCAAGGCAAGGTCTCCAGCCCTTTCTGTATTCACACAGATGTGGACACAGGCAGATACAAAGACGAATAGATACTGATGCATAGAAACCACATTCACCCATAGACAAGCACAGAGAACACACACAGAAACACACCCCACTGCCCAGCCCTGTAGGAAGCCAGGGGCAGCTGATTTCCCAGAAATTACCGACCTATCCAAGTTGATACAAAAGGCCAAAGTGGGACCAGGCACAGTGGCTCACACCTGTAATTCCAGCACTCCAGGAGGCTGAGGTCTGAGGACCCCTGAGCTCAGGAATTTAAGACCAGCTCAAGCAAGAGCAAGAATCCATCTCTACTAAAAATAGAAAAATAAGCTGGGCGTTATGGCAGGTGCCTACAGTCCTAGCTACTTGGGAGGCTGAGACAGGAGGATCACTTAAACCCAGAAGTTTGAGGTTGCTGTGAGGTAGGCTGAGGCTATAACTCTCCAGCCTGGGCAACAGAGTAAGACTCTGTCTCCAAATAAAAAAAGAAAGGCCAAAGAGGGCTGAGGGTTCTGGCAGACAGATCCCCCTGACCCCCTTGCCCTCCATACCATGCCTCTGTTTCCCTGATGAAACTGTAGTGGTAGTTGAGGGGCTGAAGGCGGGAGCAGACAGGAATACTGAGGAACCTCAGAGTGACTGGCAGCAAATTTGGAAGAAAATCAATGGCCTTTAATGAGATTTGATTTTTCTCCACTACGGGCTGTGGTTATGTGGGGGATCTCTGGGTACAATGTGCAAGGAAATGAGCCGAGGCACAAGGTGCAGGGCTGGGAGGGACTGGGGAACCAGGAGTGAGGAAACTCCAGGCTCGGCAGCTGCAGGGACAGGCAGAAACAGAGGCCTCAGACAGGATGACAGGCTGCACTGGCTCCTCGGTGTCCTCTGTGACTGAGCTGGAGTCTGGATTCCGGGCCCTCAGAAGGAGATGGGGGCCAAGGTCCACTGGGGTCAAGAGGCTGGCAGGGGCCAAGAACAGTGGGAAGCAGCCACGGGGATGGTGTGCAGCTGGCTTGGGGTCATTGGCTTCCAAAGATGGTGAGAGGCAATTAGCGGGGGCTTAATTCCGATCACTGCAGTTTACTGAGCACCTGGTGGACCCCAGGCACCTGTTATTGTTATTCTGCAGAAAACCCTGTATGAGAGGTGATAGTTTCTTGCTCAGATGAAGAAAATTAGGATCAGAGAAGTTAAAGAAACCACCCAAAGCCAGACAGCGAATGGCTGAAGTAGCACCTAAATCATGGCCCACCAGGCTTAAAAGTCTATGTTTCCCCCATCCTGTAAGCAGCACCTGACAGGCAGTGGAGGAAC